AATATGATGATGATTACTATGATGACAGGAGCATCACAAGGTAAACTTACCTTTCAACATTGTATAAGTAGATAGATGGCACCATGATAGCAAGACCTATGATGTTTAACCATACTGTCACACTCATCTGAGGATGCCAGTGAAATGTAGGTTGCTCTTTAAACAATGTCCAAAATAGAAATCCTGTTGGAGTGACTATTGCCTACAATGATGAATAATGATTACTAACAGGTCCTTTAGTAGAGCTCAGCAATTAAATTCGACGTAAAAGATGAATCCACCTGGTTATCAAATGACCACTCACTCATTTTCCAGTCTGCTGTTGCTTGGTTTACTATAAATTATTACATATAACTTACTGTAACAATGGCTAAGAATGTTGCTCCTTCTGAGTAACGTAGTAGGCATCCTGACCCAAGCCAGTAGCAAACAAAACAGGCTATRAATAACCAACCATATAAGGCAGGATAATGTGAGCATCCAGCAGAGCCAAATACACACTGAAAACCATACACAAAACTGCAAAAAAAACTTCAGTAGATAAGAACCTTTCTGATATGGCTATTACAAATTGTTGTAAATAAAAATGAATATTTGGAAAAACAATTTGAGAAGTTCAACTAAAAATACAATATGCTTGCTTTTATTCCACTTAACTGTTTTACTTACTTCAGGAATACTTTTTCTATGCTGTTGACATTGCCAAATATGGGAATGGCATCAGTCCAGAAGAGTGCAACACAAGCAACTAATTGGAAGAGCATTGAGATGAACATGATATAGAAAATATCAACTTTCTTTGTTGACTGAGGATTTTGATATTGAAAGATTTTTTCTTGTATAGTATACCCAACTGCTGTAATTACCTGAATGAGAAGAAAATGTTACATAACTACAACCATGGCAACAACAATAATAATAACAACACTGTGCCCATGACAACAGAATTGAAAGTAACAAATACTACAACCATAATATATAACAAAAATTTATAATAATGACAACACTGCAGCAATGACATGACAACAGTATAAGCCATGACAACAACGGAAATATCAACACTGCAGCTATGACAACAAAGAATTTGTAATACTCTATTTTTAAATTGAAAGCAAATAACTGCTGTTTTTTTGACAGGAGATTTATAAATACAGGGGTGGATCCAGGATTTTCCTCAGGGAGGGATGTGGGTCTCTCATAAGGGGGTGCACCCCAAAAAAATATCATTACCATTGAAAATACAAATTAAGGAAAGTATGTAATGTACATACAGATCTCAACAGTGGGAGAGCAACTCCTGCACCCACCAGCTTGATCTGCCCCTGAAATAGGCCTTTACAAAAAACAACAGAAATAAAATGCTGCAATTACAATACCTTAAAAATTTTCCTTTTTTCTGAGTTGAGGCTAACCCTGGATTTTCAATGAAAATCTAACTTTAGGCATTCTGGGAATACAGGGTTAGTCTCAATTTGGAACAAATGCAAATGCTATTGTAATATAATGACATTTTTTTCATGCTTTCTCTTGTTTCTCTTTCTATTGTTAAGGTCTTTGCGCAAGAGAATCTTTTGTCAAATAAAACAGCAGTGTTTATAGCTTTGAATTTCAAAACAGAGTATTCATCGATGCATAAACACTGGAGAAGACTTCATCCCATTACAGTCAGACACTTACAAATCCCATCATAAAACAGCATGGCCAAAATATCCCTCTCCATCCAGTAGTTCCACCCTGCTCTTTGTTGTTTGCTTGTTTTGGGTCAATCTCAGGAACCAATGATGGCAGGAGACAAATAAATATTGCTAATACTATCGTCAATGCACAAATCAATTTCTGCTTTGTTGGCGATTTTTTTAGAAGAAGGTACCTAGGTGAAAGAAAAACACATGACATAAACAAATATGTCCTCCTAAACACAAATATTATTGGCTTGTAAAAATGATAAACGGATTATTAATGAAGCTGCTTGATTTCTTTCACCACAAGACTTAACAGTATTGAGACGTGAGACCTCAGCCAACCTATAATCACAGATAACATTTGAATTCACTGCTGGAGCAGTCTGAAAATGTTCCTTATTCAATATATGTTATAAATACAGTAAATAACGGCTGATGACCATGCCATGTCCGTGAACATACAAATACAGARAGGATAGCTTCAAAGACATTGGAATTGTGAAGTCTAGTTCAGMCATCAAAGTGTGGTATAGTGACATACAAGATTTGGCCACAAGTGTATGTGGAGTTCCTGATTTAATGGGAAGAATATATTCCATATGCATGTCCCTCAAGACMAAGCTYTAAAGATTGTATGCTTTTGTGGAATTAAGCCGTTGGTACTWCTCAGGCAGATAAAGAGGTTATAGAATGGTGTCTCGGAAATCGCAAGGCTCGCCAAAAATTTCCCAAGGCTTTCAAGCTCGGCGCTTAAAAGAAAGGTTCTTGGATTTAAAATCGCTTTTAGCTTGGAAGCTCACAATTGCCGAAAAAACGCACTCGTTCAGACGAAGGCTCGGACTCGGATATTACCAATCAATACCCCTAGATAAACTTCCACAAAACCTCCTCAAAACGCTTGCTCTATGTGATCAAGATTCAATGCCATATATCCATATTCTTCTTGTCATCAGATGCACTTTGCCAATATCAAATGCTAAACCAGAGAGGYCCACTTGGCTTATGAAAAGGGTTAAGACCTATTCAAGATCAGCAGTCATGTCTGATCAACTTCTGACTTAGCTGTGGCTGCATTAAGATGTGAGATTTTCCACAGATGAAGTGTGCAAGTTGTTCATCAAAACACGTCCAGGATTCATGGATTATCTATTGGATATTAAATATTTGCACTTGTGTATATTATATATTTGTACTGTTGTAATAACTGTGCATTCAAGTAATATATACAAAGTTTGCAAGAAGGCTATATATTTGTTGAATTATAATTTTTTTATTCAGTTCTTATGATAACTAAGTGGCACCTTTAGGGCCCATGCCACTAGACCTCAATAACACACAGTATTCTATAAAATGAAGTTAAAATGAAAAAGAATTAGATATCTAACTCAAATATCTTTATGAGTGAAACTTTGCAATTTCAGTTTAATTATGGTTCCAGTTTGTATGTTGACAAAAAACGTTTAAGGACCRKGCATAAAAACCTCCCCACCCCCACCCCCTTGAAACAAAAAGTATTATTCTTATATACTGTAAGCTGATATAAGCTATAAATAAAGGAATAATTTTAAAATCATGACTCACCGGAGAATCAATGTTGCTGGTATCGCTGCATTGACTAAAATTGCTTGAAGATATGGRGCTGTACGTTTACCACTGGATGAGTATACAATGATTAGACCAGCAAATCCCGCTAGAAGTCCAGATAGTGCTATGAGTCTGTGAGGTACGCGGCGATCAAAACATTCMCCTTTAAGATACATTCTAAGCCTTCTAACTGCAAACAACACGCCAAACACAATTGCAAACATGATTGTAGAGAATACAGTAACAGCATAGCTATCCATGAAAGGCTTATAMGCAGTAAAGGAATGATTTAAAGATGTTGAATTGTCGTCGTATCGAGCAGAGTCAATAAAKAGTGGAAGTACCACATTCTGCCCGCACTGTCCGCCAACCACCATAGACCCAAATAAAAGATTCCTCAAAACATCTGACTTTTTTCTTCTTTCTGTGATGGGTAAATGATCATGGTTTTCTTTTTGAATAGAGTACGCGCTTGGTCCATCCATTGTGTACGATCACTTCTTGGCATGTTCGTCGTGACCTTTTGTGTGATCCCGAATGATCTGTCGTCACGTGTGTATCAGTTGATTGTACGTGACATCCATAGGCAGTTCATCTCTTTAAAATTTTGACTTTCGTATTTTTTCACAATTTTGTTCATGCTTGGATGTTGATTCATAAAAAATATGTAAAACAACATAATATTTAAAAAAGAAATATTACAATTCTTTTCATTACATATTTTTATGAATCAATTATGCAAAAGTGACAAAGAAAATTTTAGAATTGARAAGTGGAATTCCTGTGTTTATAAGGACAGGAAGCCCACCATATAAGCGTGATTGCGCATCATCATTTCATTAAATACATCATCAACCAAACATCAACCTCGTTTCCAGGGCTACTCTGCTCGGGCKAAAAAATGTAAGCAAATACTAACAGTTTCAGTTTCAGTATTATCAACCATATCATAATACTTCAGTAAACAGCGCTTTCGCTTGCTGTTTTGACGCATTCCAACCTGGACGATTCTTTTACGAGTGACTTTATACATATTTTATTTTCGATAGAGACTTCTTATTACAATTCTTTTTAAAATGACYTCCAATATTAACTTTGAGCATACAACTTAGCGAAAGCGCTCTTAGATAACTTTTACATGTATAGTCAAATAACAATACACTGCTCTCGATCATTAACACACAATAGCTTCACAGATATTATACTTTACAACACCAATAATTTATTCAAACTTACACCTTCGCGATCAGTGATCTATTGTTACTAAGAACATACAGAGGCTTTGTTTCTTCTTCATAAAACATCGCAAAAGCGCAAACATTTACTTAACGCTTAAAACATATATTTTGCTCAACGATTCATTTTGACCCGTACCCGGTGTAGCCATGTAGCCGGCTACGGGTCATAGTGAATTCTTCGTTCTATATAAGACACAGGAAGACCGGTCACTTCATTTTGACCAGTAGCCGGTGTAGCCATGTAGCCGGCTACGGGTCATAGTGAATTCTTCGTTCTATATAAGACACAGGAAGACCGGTCACTTCATTTTGACCCGTAGCAGGTGTAGCCGTGTAGCCGGCTACGGGTCATAGTCTTTAATTCGTTATATAAGATACACAGGAAGCACTTCGTTCTATAAGAATACGGGAAGTCCAATGTATGTATTTTGACCTGTAGCCGTAGCCTTCGTTCATATCCTGCTTTTTTTGCGGGGTATTCGATAGTTGCTCCGCGCCGCGATCGATTTGATAGATTTTGCGTATGATCTTTTAACATCATTTTTTGAATATTTTTATCATTGCAGCGAAAATTTAGCATTCAGATTGCATTCGCATTATCCTCAGACAATTTATAAGATGAAAGTTTGCTTTAGGCCGTGTCCACACTGGCGTTTTTTTCGTGCAACTTGTGTCGCGCAAAAAAATGTTGAAGTTGCACGATGCCATGTCACACTAGCAAAATTCCGTTGCAACTGTAGCTCGCACAAAAAAATGTTCAAGTTGCACGCGTAAATTGAAAATGTACGATCATCTCACTTTCTGTCTCGTTTTCTTCTTCAAAATTATCGCTTTCGCCAAAGATGGCGTCGGGCATCTTTGTTGATTATTACAACAAGTGACAACAGGACAGATTCTCGCTTTCTTATGGGTTCGTGCGCCTAATTGAAAAATTTGGGAGTTGCAAGAGACCATGTCACACACGCGTTTTTCCGAAAAATGTTGAAAAAAGTAGAAGCCAGTTCTACTTTTCTCTCAACAAAAAAATGAAATGTTCAAGTTGCATGAGGGGGTGTCACACGTAAAAAAACGCTCGTGCAACTTCAACATTTTTTTGGATAAAATGATTTTAGAAAAAAAGAACGAATATATTTTAAAGTAACTGATAAAGAAAGAAAACATGTGTAGAAGCTGCTCGAGTCGAGAATCGAACCCGAGATCGTCAGTTCAACGCCGCTATTCAAGTATGATCTTGCGTGTAAAATATATAAAACAAATATCTACAGAAAAATAAGAATGAGTATATTTCAGTAGAAAAAGGAAAGAAGTGATCGAGTTGAGAATCGAACCCGCGATCCTAAGTTCGACATTACGATAGCTATAGTCTGTGTAAAAATCAAAATAATGGCTCGATAATATCTACAGAAAAAATTAACATAGCTATAACAACTTCATTTCAGTTAAACAGAAAGAAAAAAAGAGACGAAATTTGAACCCGCGATCCTCTGTTCAACGCCGCCTATTCGAGTATGATCTTGCGTGTAAAATATGTAAAAAA